GAAGTTCTCTTTCTTGGTTGTATCTTTGTGTGGCTTGGGGATCAAGGTTATTGAAGCCTCATAGAAAGAGTTTGGCAAAGACCCTTCTGCTTCTATTGTGTGGAACACTTTGAGAAGAATTGGTATAAGCTGTTCTTTGAATTTGTGGTAGAATTCTGCACTGAGGCCATCTGGACCTGGACTTTTTTTGGTTGGGAGACTTTTGATGACAGCTTCTATTTCCATAGGGGTTATAGGTCTATTTAAATTGCTTATCTGTTCTTGATTTAGTTTTGGCAAATGATAGCTGTCCAGGAAGTCATCCATTTCCTTTAAATTTTCGAATTTTGTGGAGTACAGGTTTTCAAAGTATGACCTAATGATTCTCTGGATTTCCTCAGAGTCTGTTGTTATGTCCCCCTTTTCATTTCTGATTTTGTTAATTTGCGTGTTCACTCTCTGCTGTTTGGTAAGTTTGGGCAAAGGTTTGTCTATCTTGTTGATTTTCTCAAAGAACCAACTCTTCGTTGCATTGAATCTTTGTATTGTTTTCCTGGTTTCTACTTTGTTGATTTCAGCCCTCAATTTGATTATTTCCTGGCGTCTACTCCTCCTGGGGGAGTTTGCTTCTTTGTGTTCTAGAGCTTTTAGCTGTGATGTTAATTCTCTGGTATAACTGTTTTCCTGTTTCTTCATGTGAGCACTTAGTGCTATGAACTTCCCCGTAGCACTGCTTTCAAAGTGTCCCATAGGTTTGGGTATGTTGTGTCTTCATTCTCATTGAATTCGAGGAAGTCTTTAATTTCTTTTTTATTTCCTCTTTGACCCAGGGATGGTGCAGTTGAGCATTATTCAATTTCCATGAGTTTGTAGGTTTTCTGCAATTTGTGTTGTTGTTGAATTCTAATTTTAAGGCATGGTGGTCTGATAAGATGCATTGAGTTATTCCAATTTTTTTGTAGCTGTTGAGGTTTGATATGTTGCCAAGTATGTGGTCGATTTTTGAGAAGGTTCCATGTGGTGGTGAGAAGAAGGTATATTCTTTTTTATGTGGATGAAATGTTCTATAGATATCTGTTAATCCCAGTTGGGTCATTACTTCTATTAGACCCTTTGCTTCTTTGTTGAGTTCCTGTCTGGTATTCTTGTCTAGTGGTGAGAGTGGTGTGTTGAAATCTCCCACTATAACTGTGTGGGGCTTTAGATGAGATTTAAGTTCTAATAATGTTTCTTTAACGAATGTGGATGCCTTTGTATTGGGGGCATAGATGTTCAGGATAGACACTTCATCTTGGTGGGTTTCACCTGTGATGAGTATGTAATGACCTCCTTCATCTCTTTTGATTGATTTTATTTTAAAGTCTAGTTTGTTAGATATTAGGATTGCTACCCCTGCTTGTTTCTTGGGTCCATTTGATTGAAAAATTTTTTCCCAACCTTTAACTCTCAAGTAATGTCTGTCTTTGAGGGTGAGGTGTGTTTCTTGTATGCAGCAGAAGGAAGGGTTCTGTCTTCGAATCCATTCTGCTAGTCTGTGTCTTTTTATGGGTGAGTTAAGGCCGTTAATATTGAGGGATATTAATGACCATTGATTGCTCATCCTTCTTCGATTTGCGATGGTTGTTGTTGGTGGAATTATGGGTGGAATTTCACCCCTTTGTTCTTTTGGCTGTTGGTAGAGAGGGATTCTCTAATGCTTATGTTTTTCTGGTTGTAGTTAGCTTCCTTGGGTTGGAGTTTTCCTTCCAAAATTTTCTGTAGGGCTGGGTTAGTGGACACATATTGGTTGAATCTAGTTTTGTCATGGAATATCTTGTTTTCTCCATCTATAGTGATTGAGAGCTTTGCCGGGTATAGTAGTCTGGGCTGGCATCCATGGTCTCTTAGTGTAGGTAGAATATCTATCCAGGACCTTCTGGCTTTCAGAGTTTCCATGGAGAAATCAGGTGTAATTCTGATAGGTCTGCCTTTATATGTTACTTGACCTTTTTCCTTAGCTGCTCTTAATATTCTTTCTTTATTCTGTATGTTTGGGGTCTTGATTATTATGTGGCGAGGGATTTTTTTGTGGTCCACTCTATTTGGTGTTCTGTAGGCTTCTTGTACCTTCATTGGCATGTCTTTCTTAAGGTTGGGAAAGTTTTCTTCTATGATTTTGTTGAATATGCCTTCTGCCCCTTTGAGGTGGATTTCTTCTCCTTCTTCTATACCTATTATTCTTAGGTTTGGTCTTTTCATGGTGTCCCATAATTCCTGGATGTTTTGTGTTAAGGATTTGTTGGATTTAAGGTTTTCTTTGGTTGATAAATCCATTTCTCCTAATGTATCTTCAACACTTGAGATTCTCTCTTCCATCTCTTCTATTCTGTTGGTAATGCTTGTATTGGTAGTGCCTGACTGTTTGTCCAGCTTTTCTATTTTCTGCCTTTCTTCAGATTGTGTTTTTTAGTGTCTCTATTTCAGTTTTCAACCCTTGCAGTGTTTGCATTGCTTCTTGCAATTTTCTGTTTATCTGTTCGTCCGTTTGTTGCCTTTTATGAATTTTTTGGTTTGTTCTTTCTTCCATTTCTTGCATTTTTTGGTTTGCTTTTTGTTCCATTTCTTGGATTTTGTGCTTTGTTTCTTCTTCCATTTCCTGCCTTTTTTGGTTTGTTTCTTCCTCCATTTTTTTCATTTTTTACTTTGTTTTTTCTACCATTTCTTGCATTTTTTGCTTTGTTTCTTCTTCCATTTCCTGCCTTTTTTGGTATGTTTCTTCTTCTAATTCTTGCATTTTTTGCTTTGCTTTTTCTTCCATTTCTTGCATTTTTTGCTTCATTTCTTCTTCCATTTCGTGCCTTTTTTGGTTTGTTTTTTCTTCCAATTCTTGCATTTTTTGGTTTGTTTTTTCTTCCATTTCTTTGAGGGATTTTCCAATATCCTCTTTTAGGGCCTCTATCATTTTCATGAAAGTGCTTTTAAGGTCGTTCTCTTCTGCTTCCTTCGCGTTGGAATATTGGGGTCTTGCTGGTGTGGAGTCTCTAGAATCTGGCGGTGTCATATTTGTTTTTCTGTTGCTGACTGTGTTTTTGTATTGTCTCTTTCCCATCTCTTCTTCTAGTGGGTGCAGAAAGAGCCCCTTCCTGGTCTGGGGACCAGAGTTCCCTTTTGGTGGGTGCTAGTAAGTCCAGTAATCTGGTGGTTCTTCTATGCCTTGTCCAAATGCTGGTCCGTGGGTAGAGAAGAAGAACAGGAATCTGGGGCGCTTAGCCTCCTACCTGGTCCCCTGGACCCTATGCTGGGTCCTGTTGTACCTGATTCGGAACAGCTACTCCCCTGGTCTCCCTGGCTCCTGTAGTTTCCTGGTCTCTTTGGTGGGAGAGAAGATCTGGAGTCTGGGGTGCTTGGCTCCCGCCGGGATTGGGAGCTCTGTGCAGTTCCCAGGCGATCTGCAGGCTCTGGAACACAGGCTGGGAAGCTGGCCTGTTTACCTGATGCTCCCGCCGGGATTGGGAGCTCTGTGCAGTTCCCAGGCGATCTGCAGGCTCTGGAACACAGGCCGGGAAGCTGGCCTGTTTACCTGATGATGCCAGAGGGACCCATTCTGCCCATTTCTACAATGCAACAAAACAAAGTCACATAAAGGCAGTAAAGAATGCCATTTACTTAGTCGTCTTTCAAGTATTCACCCAAAGGAACATTTTGATGGCAATCCATATCTTATAAAGATGCATTTACCCTCTATTGAAAAAGAGGAAAAGAAAGGATTAGTTCAAAAGACTTCTGCTCCTGCGTCTCATAGTAAACAGGGCACTAAATGTGAAGAACAAGCCAGCTCCAGCTAATGCTTGGGAGACAATTCCTTCTCTAGATCTGACTACCAGTAGTTGAAACACATGGTGTTACAGAGCAGAGAGTTCAAGCATTGAAAAGAAATTCAAACCTGCAGCTCTAATACTTTTTTTCTGTTTTAATGATACTACTTATTAAACTTCTGGCTAACATTTTTTAAATTCTCAAATAGCATGAATAGGCGTTTCACCAAGAAACATGCATGTAGTAAATAAGCATGTGAGAGAGTCTGTAGCCTCGGCCATTAGGGAAACACAACTTAAACCACAATAAGACACCACTGTGCAACTGTCAGATGGAAGAAACAAAAAGTATTGAGGGAGGGAGGGAGGGAGGGAGGGAGGGGAGGGGAGAGAGGGGAGGGGAGGGAGGGGAGGCTGCCTATGACATTTAAACTGAATTCCTATGCATTTATGCCAATGAAATGAAGTCAGATGTCCCCACAGCTACCTGTACCAGAGTGTTTATAACAGCTGTATCAAAATCTGGAATCAACCCAGATATTCAGGCAGCTACACTACAGCAGCTGAACAACTACACAAAACTGTGGCTTCTCCGTGTCACAGAATACTACTCTGCAATAAAAAGGACCACACCATTGAAAAAATGGTGCGATACAAGAGCTGGAAGTGTCTCTAGGGAACTCGGAGAGCTGGCAGGGAGCCAGGCACAAAAGCCTACCAACTGTGTGATTCCATTTACCCAGCACTCTCAGATGCTGAAAGCAAGAGAAGAAAAGCCCCATGAGTGATGGTCAGAGAATACTGGAGGGGGTTATAGATATCATGAGGAATGCTTGGAGGGGTAGACACTCTATGTGAATGTCCACATTGAGACCATGAAATCATGCTGTAGTTTTGTAACATGATTGCATTATGGGAAAACTGGGTACAAATTACATGGGACTCCTCCGTGTTACTGCTCCAACTCAAAGTATGAACTAAGCCCTTAAAATTTGTCTTTTATATTTTATGTTGATTAAAAGTGTGTGTTATCTTCTCTTGTTCTTTTCCTGTTAAGTCTATGGTAGGCACATGCGTGGACACGCCATGGTTCCACATTTTTTTCCCAGGCAAAGCATGGTGTGGGGTATGCCCGAGCAGAACATGTGTTCTCTATTGGTCTCCAGGTGTTTCGCTACCCAGCCCACAACACTGTTAGTGACGGCTCACTTTCTTTCTCATCTCCAGGAAAGCCACTAGTGAAAACTTCTCGAGTGACAGTGCTCAACACAGAGAAGCCTGCAGTCACAATGGACATCGGCGGCACCATCGGAACAGTTCGAGGAGTGAACGTGACAATTAACTGCCAAGTGGCAGGTGAGAAATCCATTCATGTGTTGCTGTGTTCTGATACTGATGGAGCTTTGGGAGAGGCTGGGGAATACAAATGCAAATTAGATACAAATTCTCCTCTCAGCTGAAATACATACTTTATTCAGAAAGTGAGGGTACATCAGAAGGTTAGAGAGGGAAGGTTATTTCTGCCTGAGCCTGGTGGACTGAAAAAGGCATTAGGATTTTCAATGTTTTTATTAGGCAAATTGTTGCTTGTATTTCTTGTCCCAGCCAGGTCCTGCTGCTGCTTCAGCTTCAAATAAACACATGAAGATTTGTATTAATTATAAACTGTTGACCGAGAGCTAGGCCTTCTTATTGTCTAGTTCTATCTTAATTATTAACCCATAACTACTAATCTATGTGTTTCCACGTGGTCTTGACTTACCAGAGAATGCCCGGACCTGTTACTCCTTTGCCAACCACATTGTGTCTCTTTGGTGGGCTCCCCCTCTGCCTACCTTTCCCAAAATTCTCCTCATCTCCTAATCACATCTATCTTCCTGCCTCTTTGGCCAAACAGTGTTTTATTCATCAACCAATAAGAGAAACATATATACAAAAGGACATCCCCCAGCAATGAATCATAATTGGGTATACTTATGGGGTACAATGTGATATAGCATGGGATGATTAAATCAAGCTAATCAACACTTATTTGTTTATGTGCCCATTGCAGTGGTGTTTGCTAAGACAGTCCTGCTATATATAGAGTGAGGCTGCCTTAGAATTCACTATGTAGCTCTGGCTTCAACTCTATGACTTTTATACCACAGTCATCTTCTAAGTGCTAGGCTTGCAACTGTGTGACATATGCTGGGCTTCTTTGTTTTATTTTCTGTTCTTAATTTTCCATATTAACAGAATGAGAGCATGCAAGAATTGGGGTGAGGGTGTTCCAGGTAGAAAATGAAAAAGAGTATGGGAATTTTCTTGCAAGCTAGGAAGCCTGGTGTTGTTCAGGGAATAACATGAGTTTAAATCTGAATGTGAAGGCTTAAATCTTTATAAGGTGGGTGGCGGGTGGACCATGAGCCACCTTGGAAGAGTAACCAAGGAGCCCAGACAAACGAAAATAGAAATTCATGCTGCTTCAGAGTTAGGGAGATGGCTAGGGGAGGAAAAACCCTTAATGGATAATCAAGAGGACGTGAGTTTGAATCCCCAACACCCATATAAAAGGCAAGTATGGCTGCACATACCCCAGCACTGAGGGATGGAAACATGTGGATCGCAAGAGCTTAACTGCCACTATACCTATTCAAAATGGCAAGCTTCAGGCTCACTGAGAGACTTGTCTCAAAAGCTAAAGTGGAGAGCAATGGGAGATGCTCTATGCCTCCTCTGGCCTTTGCATGCATACACTAGGTATGTATACCCTCACACATGTGCTCATATAACACATGAAGGAAGGGAGGGAGGGAGGGAAGGAAGGAAGGAAGGAATTGTGAAAGACATCAGCAAGGATTGCCTATTCTCATATTGGAAGAATTAATGTGAAAACATCCATCCTGACAAAAAGCAATCTACAAATTCAATGCAATCCCAACTAAAATTCCAGGACTATTCTTCACAAAAATAGAAAAAAAATCTATTTGAAAGCATAATGACCGAGGGTAGTCAAAAGCTATACATAACAAAAAAAATAACATTGTTAGAAATACCTGAATGCCTGATTCCAAGTTAAACTGCAGAGTCATAGTAATAAAAAGTACTGTGGTACCAGTACAAAAAGAGACAAACTGATTGATGTAATATAATTGAAGACCCAGATATAAGCCCACACTCCTATAGACATTTGATTATTGACAAAGCTCAAAAATACACAGTGGAGAAAAGACAGCATCTTCAACAAACAGCTGGGGAAACTGGCTATCAACATAGAAAAGAATGAAACTAGATACTCTCCTCACACCCTGCATAAAACTCAACTCCAAATAGATCAAGGATCTCAATGTAAGGCCTGATGCTCCGAAGCTGCTAGAGGAGAAAATGGGGGTACCCATCAACATATGAAAGGGCTTTCTGGTAGCACAGGAAATAAGACCAACAACCTGGAAACGGGATCTGATGAAACAAAAAAATCTTCCACACAGCAAAGCAGAATCAGTCAAGTGAAGAGACAGCCCACAGCATGGGAGAAATCTTTGCCAGCTATGTCTCTTACAGAGAATTATACAGGTTATACAAAGAACACATAAGTTGAATTCTTTATCTCTTGCTACAGAGATATTTGCTCAAGCATTTCATTGCTGCTTTCTTAGAAATGCCAGAATACAACAGTCAGAAAATGAAACGAGCTTGCATACTCATCAGCTGATGTATAACGATTAATTTTACACAGGTGTACAGAAAAATGAAAGTAGAAAATTTTCAAACGTATGGAGGTAGAAAAATTATGTGAAGCAAGGAAACCCATACTAAAATGGATAAACACCATATGTTATCTCTCACATGGGGGTCTTTAGATGTGTGTGCTAACCTGGAGTACCCATAGAAGTAAAGAAGTTGGGGAGGGGGCACTTCGGGGTGAGAGATGTCTTAGAGTCAATGGAATAACAGAACATAGATATTGAAAAAGGAAGAATAGAGATCTTAAGCATGGATTGGAGTGGGTGGAGGAAGAGCAAAGGAGGATTGAACAAAACTAAGATTATATGAGAAAGCAGTATGGGAACTTACTACTGTGTAAGTCAACTTTAAAATGTTGAGAGGGAGAGGGTGACAGGAGAACATTTCTAGATGATGCTGTTCCTGAAAGTCCAAGGTCAGGTAAAAGAACCCTCATTATAAGTCAGTCAGGGAAGCTCCAGAGGCCCCAAAACCAGACAGGTACTTGCCATTCTTCCTGGTTGCCCACTGGGACTAGTTGGTAAGACCTGTTGCTAAAAACATCGCAAACCTTGGTTGCAATGTATAGAGAAATCAAGCTGGAAAACCAAGAACCAAGAACTTTCATGCTTGTGGTACAAGGTGGAGAAGTCTTGGCAGGGATCCTTCCACACAGGCACTCAGGCTGGAGTTACTGTAGACAGGTGCCCCAACTAGTCACTGTGAGCATAGGCCTCAGAGAGAGGACAGACACTATGTGCTCCTGGGTGAACAGACCAGCAGGTGAACAGACAACAAAACAGGGAATTAGACCAGTGATTTTCAGCCAGTGGATCACGACCTCTTTGGTGGCCAAACAACCTTTTCACAAGGGTTGCCTAAGCATCTGCATATCAGATATTTGCATTATGATTCATGACAGTAACTCAATTGCAGTTATGAAGCAGCAATGAAAGTAATTTTATGGTTGGGGTCACTACAACATGAGGAACTGTATTATAGGATCAAAGCATTAGGAAGGTTGAGAACCCCTGAATTAGACATCATGGAAAGAGATGTCGAAAGCCAGATGCCAAGTCAGGAAGAAGCTGGGAACCTAGGACATGAAAGCAATGTTTTGGTCCACTGTATGTGGCAACCACCACCTGGTCCCCTGGACCTCAGACAGTTGGTGACCTTTGCCTAACTGTAAGGTTATATTTGGGTTTGGGCTGGGGTTTTACTGGGGGAGGAGCACGCATGTGCAGAAGCCAGCCTAACACTGACATCTTCATCACTCTCCACCCTAATGGTTGAGGCAGAATCACTAAACCTTAAGCTCTACATTTGAATACAAAACCCTAGAGCTTGGTGACCAGCCAGTATCACTGAAACAACATACAGATTTTTGTTTTGTTCTCACTCACAGAATCATGTGTATTAACCCCGATTAAAACTTAACCTCTCTTTGTGCCTCAGTCATTGTGCCTGCTGTTGAGTCATATATTTATTCAAAGTAGCGGAGGGAAATCCCAATTTTGATATAATTAACTGGATGGACAGGGAAATGGTCCTCACGGCATCCCTAGCCAGTGTTCTGAAAACACTGCTCAATGTGACATTGGCTCAGAAGCTGCTTTCATTCACTGCTTTAATGGCTCCTCTGTCCCTCTCCCACTCCTCGTCATCTCCACTGTGTCTCTAAATGGGGACTCAGTGGCTTTCTGACTAGGTGGGTAAAATTCACCAAGCCATAGATAGTAACGCTGTCGGTGACTAGCAATGCATTAGACCTGATAATCCAGACCCTTGTAAAAGGCAGGGGAATGATTCCATACTTACAGAAGGACTGTCCATCAAGTTCATTTGCATCACCCATGGGCAGTATGTTACTGAATAGCTAATTAAGGTTAGATCAGAGGTCTCCTAAGTCAAGGAGACACAGATGGTAAGACACAGGAAGCTCACCATCTGGGAAGAAGAGAGATTAGAAAACACATAATAAAACAGCATGCTATATAGGGATAGTCATTATTTCCTTATTCTAGAACAGCAGGGTGGTTTTGACACTTCAGGAAATATAGAAAAATAGGAGTATGTGCTCAAAGTTCCCCTTTTAGCATAGTTCCTTTATCACTGCATTCCCTCCCCTTTCCTTTCCACTCCCTAATTAACATTTGTCTGTCGTGAGCCTGATTTTAAAGGATACATAAAAGTCTATTTAAGGAACGTCTCGTACGGTACCTAGACTGCCTGACATCCTCACATGTTTGAGCCATTAGCAGTTTCTCATTAAAGAAATTTTCTCACACATGTGCTCTCAACTTGTAAAATGCAGCCTCACACATCCTTCCCAACCCTTCGGCATAAAAACACATTAAGCAGTGAGTGGCTTTTTCTTAAAAGCCATCCAGTCCACTCTTCCGTTCTTGGGCCCGTTCTCTCTGTGGTAAGAGTTCGGGAGCTGAGTGAAAGAGCGGTGGAGGAAAGAGTGTGCAAACGGCCTGAGGCAGAAAGAGCGTGCTTCGTGGGATAAAGAGAACTCTGGCTGGCGTGTGAGACCTGGTGTCTGGCAGTGGAGAGGGAAAGAAAGGCCATGAGGCTTGCAAGCGAGTAGGCAGGGGCTAGATCTCGCCAGTGCTCATAGATTATACTATGGTTCAGGCTTTTAT